GTCGGCCGCGGAGCCGCCCGTCGTCTCCGGCAGTCAGCTGACTCTGATGTCCGGCCGGGAAACAGCGGCCGTTGGCGGCGGCGCCGGCCGGCTCCGCGAGTGCAGAGTGGAAGGGAAGGCACCGCCTGCCAGTGTGCGTCGCGCGACCGTGCAGGGCGTTCAATGTATCGTGCTGGCGTACCTGGTATACCTGAGCATGATAGCGGACATTTTGCCAGAGCGCAGTCCAGTCGCCCGCTAGTGTAAGTAGCAGTATTGAGTCCACCAAGCTTCCGGACCCGGCTCCAGTGGGCGGAAATCTCGGCACGTTCAGAGCCCGGCACCACTCAGTGTCGGTACCTTGAGTTCCCAACGTCAGTCAGTCCTGGCGCCGCCGACGACACCCCCGGGTGCCCGACGCCCGCGTCAGTGGCGGCAGTCGGCGCCCCCGACTGGCTCACCGCCGGCGCCGCCCGGCCTGGCTGCGTCGTCCTCGCCGTGGTCACGGACGACGGCCGCTGGCCGGCCTCAGCTGCCCCCCCCCCCTCCTCCCTCCCCTCTTCTCCCCTGCCGCTGGTCACAAAAGCCGCTGGCCGCTGATTGAGGCCATGTGTAGCGCTCGCGCCGGCCGTGGACGGGGGTCGAGTTAAAAGGCGGCCGCCCCCCTGGACAGTGTCCCCCGGCGGCCGGCATGCGCTGCACGCGGCGCCAATCAGCCGCCGCCGCCCCGCCGCCACGCACGCGTCTTCATTTCGCAGGCACGCTTCAATGGGCAAGAAATTACCGCCAACTGGAGCAAATTGGCGGGGCGCGCGAGTCGTGTGGCCCGGTCCGGGCTGTGTCGTCCCCCTTCCCCCTCCCCCCCCCCTCTCCCTCCGTTCCGACCGATGCCCGGTCTGCAGTAGGGCGTACGCCCAGATGGAGAAAATGACTGGGCTCAGCTAGTGCTCAAACTGCGAAGACAGACGTCACCGACAACTCGATCTGAAATCTCGACCTAAAAGCCGAGATTAAAGAAAGTCGAAAAGTCGCACTTTGATAGGATTGATTGCCTGTCTATATACCAGTAGATAGCTGGTGGTATGCTGATGCTCGTGTGTTGCCATCGACCACCCTAACACAGCGTTACGTTGTTTGGTGCGCAACGTCAGTGTTGGGTGGTAGCTCATTTCATTGGTTGCACGCTCAGACATGAAGCGGAAATAAGAGCCGCTTTATTGTAGTACTAGGGTACCAGCAGCTGGAAGTGTATCAGTGCCGGCGGAGCCGACCACCCAAGTTGTGTGGCGTCTGGGCAGATAAAGCCATGCCTTTGCCAACATTAACGGAGGTCTTTGGCCTGCATTGTGCGAACACATTGGAAGCGGTTCGCAGTACCGGCGACAGCCAAGCCTCGCGGCTGTAGGCTGGCACTCCTTGCCTGCCAGCTGGGCCCAGCACCGGTGTGTTTGGAAGGTACTGCAGCCCTCCTCTGAATGTTTCTCTGGAGCAGACCGTCCTCACGCCGCCCTTTGCATAGCGCTAGGGTTTACTGGAACGGTTCAACCAGAAACAACTTAGATGTGTAGAACATGGAGTTAAAGCGTGCTGATGTACGGTATGTGTGAGCACGGACAGATCTTTGAGACGCGCACGCTATTGATGCCGGCATGTTTGCCAATAACGCCTTCCGCAGTAGCCATTGCTGACCCAGAAGACATGATTGACAGGAACATGACTGTGGAAAGGTTATATAATGCAGCTCCCGAGCGATGGGCAAGAACGAAAGCTTGGGCCTGTACCCGTCGCTCCTCTGACCTGCTCTAACCTCCTCAAGGCCCTCTGAACTAATCTGATTGTTCACGTGGCTCCTCTATCCCCCTCCAAGCTCTTCAAAGCTCGCTGCTTACCTCCTCCAGCCTCCTTCGGAATGAAAGATGGTTTTTCATGGGAGTTTGGAGGAGGCCGCGGGAAATATTTACGACGCAGTTCGTTCACATGCTTTTTTGGCTGCATTTGTTATCACGTAATAGCAACAAGTGACTGGTGTGTAAATTGATTCGGGTAGATGATATTCCAAGAAATTGTTATAGCTTCATGACCATACGACTGTAACTGCACAAGTTGCCATTTTGATTTTTTCACTCGCGGTTAGTGCGCCGAAATTGTTTGGTTAAGATGCGCTCAGACAGCTGATACCTCCTCTGATTTCGTTTCCGTGGTAGCAGATTTCAGTGCTCTTCCACCCTTCTCCAAACTCATCGTATCTTTTTGGGGGGAGCGACGGAAACTCGCTCCCCCACAAGGATACATACCCCTTGTGCACGGGTGTCGATTTGTATTCTTTCGCGAGACCCTGTCCCTCCCCAAATGTTGACTTAGGTCCCCCAGTGTTTTTGGCTGGAATGCTACAAAAAGCGCAGGTAAAAGATGATCAGCACACAAACTACCTTCTTTGATCTTTCTGCGTAGTGGCATCCCGTACTACTCTCATAACAAAAAGTCATGACTGCTGCCACCGAAAAAGATAAACCGTAACGGCTGAGCGGATTAACGATGCAACAGACTTCACATACGTAGGGCCATAGGACACGCATTGTTTTGTAAGGTTAAAGCGAAAAGCTCTGGAGTATGGGATGACCTAAGTCCTTCATGACTAACCCGTCCTCGTACCCCACAACCAAAATGCGTGCCGCCTCCCACGACCGTCATAGAAGAGCACCATCGGCGCCCTAAGGTGGCCTCTAAAGGGGGTGCCTTTACTTGCCGATCAGAAGAGACGCGTATGTCTTGTGCCTGCCCCCTAGATTCAACACTGCATGATTTCTATTCTGTTCGGTTCGGCCCCCCAATAATGTACAAAAATTGACACCCCTCCTCTCTTGTGAGAGGGTTTGGGCCCAAAAAGACGTTTGTGCGCTTGCCCATGCATGGTGACCAGACGGTCCTTTGGACAAATCAGACTGAAGCTCACCCTTCCCATCTCTGACAACAGATCTGAAGAGCTGTGCAGTCTGAGCTATAACAATAGACCAAGCTGCCGTTGGAGTCCGGTGGGGCTCGGGCCCAGTAACTTTTGGGGAGATTGGGCTATATTATAGCATGTAAGATGCGCTCAGTGTCTTGGCTACTTCAGGTTACTTGCATGCGGTGGAAATGTATGCATGAAATCACAGGCTAAGGCAAACTGGCGTGACTGCCCTTTACTTATGACACTGCAATAGACGTGTACACAAAACGTTTATGTTTAACATGTTCACGCTTACCACTCTATGCACCCATTGTCCATATTGCGGCCACAATTTTACAGGCCGCTTCTGTAGTTTGGCTTGTTTTGATCGCCCGTTGTTCGGCCAGAACGCCCAACGAACTGTTAACAAACCCTCCAAGGGTCACTATGGCCCCTCTCCCCACCGGCGCGCCCGCCTCATGCGCCATTAAAATGCCCTTACCAGAGTATCGAGGCCTGTTTATGAAAATCAGCGGCATATTTATGTTAATCGGAAGCGGGGCGGCCGGGGTGCGCACGTGCGCCGGTTCGACGCGCCGGGAATGTGTATGCGTAATCGCGGGCGCCGCCATCTGTCAGCGGGCCGCGCCGGCACGGCGGGCTCCGGCTCATGCGCGGCGCAGGAGGCGCGGGCTCCGGCTCGTGCGCGGCGCAGGAGGCGCGGGCTCCGGCTCGTGCGCGGCGCAGGAGGCGCAGACCCCAGCTCGTGCGCGATGCAGGAGACGCGGACCCCGGCTCGTGCGCGGCGCAGGAGGCGCGGATCCCGGCTCGTCCCGGCTCGTGCGCAGCGCAGGAGGTGCGGGCTCCGGCTCGAGCACGGCGCAGGAGGCGCGGACCCCGGCTCGTGCGCGGTGCAGGAGACGCGGACCCCGGCTCGTGCGCGGCGCAGGAGGCGCAGACCCCGGCTCGTCCCGGCTCGTGCGCAGCGCAGGAGGCGTGGGCTCCGGCTCGAGCACGGCGCAGGAG